ACACACACACACTATCAATATAGGATTTACATATAGGAACACCTCTCTTTGTAGAAAATAGTTCAGCTTAAGCAATGTTATACAATAAAGTATGGTTGACTATTGACCTGTGACTGTTTCAAAAGATATGCAGGAATTTTTTTTKGGGGGGGGGGCTGGCATACTAATTACATGTATATGCAAATAGCATACAGGTCTCCCAGGACCTGTAAAACATATATTATACAAATATAGACAGGAACAGTCTTTTTAATCATCTTTACATTATTGACTTACTTAACAATCTTCCTTTTTGTTTTTAGTTTAGATGAAATAAAAGCACATTTTCACTCAACCCATTTCTAAATGACTTCAATGAGTGGAGCTTGAATTTCTGGTGAGTTATTACACACTCTGCTGCTTCAACAATAATATTAAGTAAACAAACTTTGAACACTAATGCTAAATGAGATTTTAGACATGACTAAGGATGAAACTGGTGGACTGGACCTTATTTCCCAGTTCCCTGGGAAGTGAGAGGTATGATCTGAGTTTAGTAGGGTAATGCCTGGCATTTGATAATGCCCTGTGTTCGTGGAGCATCTTCGCCCATCAAGGGGAAGCACTGAGACTCAGAGCCCCGGCAGGAAAATGTCACTCTACCCTCTGTCATTTTCTCTATTTCATGTCCCCATTCTAAGACTCTCTCGGGGTGCTGATTGTCTTCCTTTCCACACATGGCCTGAGCATTTCCAGGAGACGGGGAGTCTGAAAACTTTCCAGCCAAGATCAAGATGTTCCCAAATCAATACCAGTCTCAGAGTGCCAAATGTTAAGGCAGTGAATTCTATTATGAAGAATCAGGAAAAGAATCTAATACAAAAGAAAAAGGGCCATCACATTTTCAGAAATTCTCCCCTAATACGCTATACCTTTCTGAGAGTTGCAAGGTTCCTAGGAAGACCCCAGCTAGAGGTCAGTGACTTGTATGTTTTGTGGGTCTCACTCCTAAGGAACATCTTCCACTACCTTTTGTAAATGGGGGAAAAAATACAAACAAACCTGGCTTTGGTGAAGGAGGTGTGAGAATTGAACAAGAAGGTCATGCTATTCTCAGAGAGGAAGGGCTGTTTCACCACAGCCTCACCACACCAACCGAGACAGCAAAAAGAATTCTTCTCACACAGCAGTATTCTCAGAAGCACTATCAATCATTTGTTTATATTTCTTCTAACAGATTTTACCCATCATCAGTTTTAGAAGAAATACTTTTAGGCCTTAATAGTGGACTTTTTTCTATTAGAGTAAAACAACTATTTCTATCAAGAGTATGTGGTTTTCATATAAGTAAGTTGGAGGAGTAAAACCAGGCTGAGAAACATTGACTGACAAAAGAATCAATTATATGGAAATCCATCACATGATGGGACAATCTCTCTGACCCTTGACAACTTTGTTTCTACTTTGAGTCAAGCATTTCTAAAGAGTTAAAATTTTGTTGCTTCATTCAACCAGTTCTTAATTCAAAATAACAGTCAACAAGTTTGTTGACCAATTTGGAAAATTGGAAGATGTAAGATTTTGCATTCTACACCCAAAGCGATATACATGAATCCAGAATGTAAAGTACTCAGAGGGTGTTAGCAGAATTTCATAAAGCAGGAGTAGAAGGGCATTCACAAACACCATCCAAGAATACATTTGATTAAACTCTCCACTTGATTAAAAATCAACATATCAAACTGCCTCTGTGGGGCAGCTTCGTGAGCGTGGAACTCCTGCTTACCTGTACTGTCTTGGTTCTGTGAGGCAATCTATATTGGCCAAGAGGAGTAAGGGGATTAGACAATTATCTGCCTCCAAGAATAGGAGGGGATTATGTCTGCATCATCTTGATAAACTGTGTTCATCAAACTTACTACATAGTTCCCCATCCCAATACCATGTGAAGAGCCCCAACTTTCCTGGTTTTAGAGGCTGGATGGGACTGTGCAAGGGGCACTTTGGGGCCCATGCTTCATCTTCTCTCTCCTTTCTTTAATCTCTTAGCAACAGTAGGTTGTTAGTTTGGTGTGGAACCATTGGTTTTGCTTGTGTTTACTGTAGTCCACTACTCTGTTCTCACAACCTAGAAATGATCATGTGGTACCATAAAATATTTATTGATGGAATATATTTCCGCCCTTAAATCAGGATACATCCAAGTCAATCTGCAACCTACGTGGAAGGCACCCAACTCTTAGGGTATGAAATATGACTCCATGCCTCTTCAAAACCACACACAGCAAGCGCATCATCCTGTGGAGCGCCATCAGGCCTGGAAGACCCTGTCAAAGTTAAGATGGTGGTGAAAACCAGCCCCCCAGAGTCCTGCCTCAGTCTGAAATTCAACACATCTTGGGTTTCTCATCTGCACTTGATATAATGTACCCCAACTCTTGTGAAGGGCTGGGCCTCTTGCTCTTCTGACATAGGTCAGCCTCTGGAGAAGTTGAATTCCCAGATGCAGTTTTATGCTGGGTGGCTTATTCGAGAAATCCAGATTTGAAGAATGATTACGTATCTCAGTCCTGTGTCATAAAAATCTGCTTACCCCATCTTCTAGTCTTTGCTTATTTGTTTAATTTCCTTTGTGGGGGTCCTGGCCMAAAAAATGAGGTGCTTCTGAGGGATGTTTTAGAGACATTTTATGGTGTTTAATCTTCTYACTCAAGCAGTTACTTTTCAATTGCAAATGAAAGAAGTTTTCAAATGTGGAAGTTAAACAGAAAATATATTCAGAAACATGTTAATAAATATCTTTTAAATAACTCTTCTCTAGTCCTTGCATGGAATAGAGTAGAGGCTGCTGGAATGAGTACAGGTAAACAATGCACTATCCCTGCCTATGCCGGAAATCACAGACTGGATTAAGCATAAGAGTGGAGTGATCCCTGGCCATCAGGTTCCTAGGAGATGTTGCTTCCAGAGGGAAAGAGAGACTTGGTGGCCCCAGAACCCAAATGACTAGAAGAACGGCAACTGAATGTGACCAAATACACTGTGAGGCACAGGTTATCTGAAATCAGATAGCTGTGTCCTGTGCCCCCATTAGACAGGAAGCAAAATACCACTGTTGGAGACGAAGCTGATACTACAACCCAAGCCCTGCTCACTCCAGAGCCCCAGTTAAACCTGATATGACTCATACCCAGAATCAAAACACAAATCTATCTAGAGCAGTAGACTTGAAACCCATCATGCCCAGGAAACAGGGATCTCTCCTTAGCCACATCTGCAGGCACAGGCTACAAGAAACATGGAGATATTTTTTCTGTACATGTCTTCACAATTTCTTTTGGATTTCTACATGATTTCTACATGTCTCTTCATAACACTTGGTATCTTTTGGCCACCCACCTCTAAATAAATCCGGATAAATAARTCCATCGAAAAGTCAGACTTGTGTATTTAATTAATAAAGATAGCTTCCTACGATAAGGAGACATTTTACCCAACCTCAACACAAAGGTTCTTCTTCTGGTCTGCCAATAGAACAAAGTTGAGCTTTCCAGCAAGAAACAAGGGTGCCCTATTAAATGACTGCTATAGTTCTCATCTAGCAGCACCTGTTTTCACAATTCTCAAATCAATGTGTATCCTGAGCTCAGCTTCCAACTCTGTGAAATAAAAAGTAAATATATGAATTAGAACATGGAAAGTGTCCAGACCCTCAACCCAGAGCCACTAAAATACATAAAATCTTTTTTATTTTATTTTATTTTATTTATTTATTACGTGGTGCTGAGGATCCAATCCAGTGCCTCACATATGCGAGGCAAGCACTCTGCCACTGAGCTATATCCCCAGCTCAAAAATATATAAGATCTTAAAGGAGACCATTAACCCAATCTATGTCCCCAGACCAGGAGATGAGTACAGCCAGGCACAGAGGTGGCAAGTTGAGAGGCTCTCTTGAGCAAAAAAAGGTAAGGGGTCATTACCTCCAGGACCATGACCTGAGGTCACTCGCTGTTTTATCCCCAGACACAGAACATGCAGAGAAAGAGCTGTGATTTCCATTGTATTTTCCAGCCGCTGGCACKGCCCTTCATGGGGAGATCTCACACATCCACACTATGAAACCAAAGCTCAGAGCTGGGAGGAGGAGGCTCTGAGCAAAGAAGTGCCATGATGAAAAATCTGCTCTGGATTATGCCAATGATCCCAGACCATGTCACAGCCAACCTCTTAGTGTTCATGGGAGCTTCAACATTAAGGGCCAAGAGCAGGGAGGGGAAAGATAAGGATTCCACCAGGTGAAGGTCAGCTGGTGTCTCAAGGAAAGATGTTCCACATGAAATCTGAGAGCACAGCCCAGCCTTAAAACAATCACAGTGCCAGATGCACTCACGCACACCTGTAGTCCCAGTAATTCGGGAGGCTGAGGCAGGAGGATCACAAGTTCAAAGCCAGCCTCAGCGATTTGGCAAGTTCAATATAAAAAATAAAAAAGGGCTGGAGATGTGGTCCAGTGGTTAAGCACCCCTGGGTTTACACCCTGATCACAAAAAAGAAAAGAAAAGAAAAGAAAAAAGAAAGAAAGAAAAGRAAAACAACCACAAGAGTATGTTGAACAGTCGTTGTGGGCCTACTGCTCAAAGAAATGGCCTCTGCTCTCACAAAAGTCTTTAAAATGATGGGAAGAAAAGCTGTTTCAATCTATTTGACAAACCAAGTCTCCTCTCAGCCCTGAGTAGGAAACTCAAGATTCAGTTGCAGAACYTGAGGCTAACATGTGGTCTCTTTCTGGTCCCCAATTGAGACTGAAGCACTAAAGATTTACAGGTCATAAAAATAGAAGTATTTCCCCACCTAGAAGTGGACCATCTAAAAGGAGGTGAAGAAAGAGTGGGTAGGAGGTGTGGTTATAGKTAAAGTATTCAAACTTTCATTAGTAGCCAAGAAAGAAAAGCAATGTTAATTAGTTGCACACGTTGGCTGTAGCACTAGGAACTACACAGTTGTGATTCTATCCGATCCCTATTTTAGAGCTAAGGAAATAGATTCAGAGGAGGCAAGCTCACAGTTAACTACTGAGACTCTTTATTTCTGCCCTTTTCTTACCCCTAGAAAATGCAGTATGTTGACAAGGAAGAAACACTGGAAGGAACATGAAATMAAAAATGATCCAGATTTTTGAGCTGAGGTTAATCATTTAGAGTCACGTGGCTGTCCCCAAGGCCTGGTCCCCAAATCATGCATTTAGAGCTTCCAGGCGGTTCTCATCATGACGATGAAGTACACATCAGTGTCAATGGATGCGCTCACACCTGCATAATAATTCATGAACTCCTCTGGGGTCACCTGTAGTGAAAAAGTTAAACACCAAAACAAACTTTGTTTCCGTCCCTTTTAATGGAGGTTCATCTTCTGCCCCTGCAAAAAGAAGGAAAACTTAGGTCAAGGAGGCTGTGTGTGTGTGTGTGTGTGTGTGTGTGTGTGTGTGAGAGAGAGAGAGTGATCACTACCAAGTAACAGATCTAAAGCAAAAGCAAAGGCAAAGCCAAGCTGGGGGTGGCTGCAAGAGAGGCTCAGGGCAGGAGAGGAAGGAAGTCTAGAAAATGTCCAGATCAGCCTAAATGGAAAGTGAGACGCGGCGTCATCTTTTCTTTATGAGCAGCAGCCCAGGGGTTCAAATACATAAGACTGAAATTCAGAATAAGAAACAAGTGGTCTTTAATACTGTCTTCCCGTGGCCCATCCAAAACATGCCAGGTCCTGTGTCAAGATAAGGCAAGTTTCATCTTTCAGAACCTGGAGTCATCCTGTGGGTAAAGAAACAGATGTCTAGTCAACTGGCCTGGCTTTCATGCATTTCCAAGATAAAAAACTACTCATCCAAGGCACAGAGTGAGCAAACCATTGCTTCCTGTCCCCACCTCCCACCCTACCAGGTTCTCTCTCCATTCTAAGCCTAGGACTGTCTCTCTGGAATCCCCCAGTGATGATGGTGAACTCTGGGTTGGGTATGACTACCAGGTCTGTGATATTCAGGTGGCATCAAATGCTGTAACTGCAAAAAAGTAAAAATAAAAATAACCTTTGAGAGTATTTGAGAGATTAATGTGGCTGATTAAGATAATGTCATAGTGTATTTATCCATACTAGGATTTTATAGTACTTTCCTTTTGGAAAGAAGGAAAAACACCTGTCAGTCTTTTGTGCTCATGAGAGTGGGTAATGTGTGCACTCCAATTGTGTTGGCTGATATGATGTGCTGAGTCAGGAAAGACGTGTCCTGCTGGACCTCGAAGGTGCTCATTTATCCCAAAACACAGATCTTCATATATGCCAGATGAAGGCACAGTATTGATGGCTGATTGGGAAATTCATTGTTCTCTAATTAACCCTCAATTTTCAGCACTCATTAGGAACTGAAAACATCACAAAGAGGGAAATCCATAAAGAACCAAAAACCTCTGTCCATAACAGCACGCTCTTCCCGTGCCACATTTTTGGTAGCATGCCTATCTCTTCCAAGGATCATAGGAGTTCATTGACCCACTTGCCTTTTTTTTTTCTTTTTTTGCCAAAATTTTAAGTAAACAGAAAAGAAAAAAAAAGTCACAGAACCCACAGTTTATCTTCCTTGTCTTACCCTCTACCCTCACCCCTGATCCCACAAAAACAAAAAAAAAGGGGGGGCTTAGGACGAAAGGCTGAACCAATAGTGGAACTGTGGTCTACAAATACAAATAAATAGTATATGCACAAAAGCAACTTATTTTCTTTATTAAAAAAATTTACTATAAAATTTCTCTGTATCAACAATTCCTATGCATTTAAAATATGATTCAAAGTACAAAAGTTTGAATCATTTCTCCTGAACATTTTTATCATGCCTATTAAATGAGAAACCCCTATAAGCCCTTTAGGGGTTAAGCCCCTGTAAGCATAATGCCCAGTTAATAAGTGCTCAATAAATGTTGCCCAGATTTATCATTATGCTAACTGAGGTTCACGTGCATATTGATGGGCATTTACTAATTAAAAACAGAAATGTCTGATTTGTGAGAGCTAAGGTTCTCAAATTTGAATGTACATAGGAGACAACTGGCACATTTATTAAATATGTAAATCCTAGGGCTTCACCAAAAAAAAAAAAGAAAAAAGTTGGGCTCTGTTGTTCTGCAGGGCAGCCAGCAACACACATTCTTAATAAAACATCCCCCAGTGATGATGGTGAACTCTGGGTTGGGTATGACTACAAGGTCTGTGATATTCAGGTGGCATCAAATGCTGTAACTGCAAAAAAAAAAAAAAACCAATAACCTTTGAGAGTATTTGAGAGATTAATGTGGCTGATTAAGATAAATGTCAAAAGGGGCAGGAGGAAGGACTTTAAATCATCTGAATCACAACAACTGGCTCTTCTGTGTGAGTTGGAGAAAAGGGCAGCTGAGGTTTCCCCTGGCAGTGAGGAGGAACCACCTGCAGAAGGAGGCAAGAGCCAGCCGGGGTCTGCCCGGAGTTGGGCCAATGAGGGGAAATGGCAGTTGGCTATTTTTCCACTGACATCTCCGAGATCAAAAGCCAGTCGTACTGGAAGAAAACGCACGGTTCCGTTGTTTCTGTCCTAAGCATCGGGCTGCTCTACAAAATCTAGACCCCTTTTTTATGTACCTCTACAATCCCTTGACCTAGAAGAGAGGGAACTTCTCTATCCTTGACAAGAAAACATCAGTATTTCCTGTCCCCCACCCCTTGACACTACAACTCACGAAAGAGTTTCATGGGAAAAGCTTGGGGAAATTCCCTTCAGAGGGCAAGGCTTACTTCTTTCCTCCCGTAAACACCACCTCTTCTTCCTGTCCAGTGCCCCACTTACCTTTTCTGGTGTTGCAAGGGGTTAAGAGGCAACCTTAGGTTCTATCGCTGTTGACTGAGGCCAATGAGAGAATCCCCTTTCCACAACCACGACCCTTAGGTCACCCAAGAAAACTGGCTTTGGGTTTTACCATTGTTGTTGCTTTTAAGTTCATTCGCTGGGCACACACCTGTATTCCTGCAGCTAAGGAGGCTGAGGCAGAAGGACCACAAGTTCAAAGCCAACCTCATCAACTCAGCGAGGCCCTAAGCAACTTAGTGAGACCCTGTCACTAAATAAAAAGTACAAAAGGGCTGGGGATGTGGCTCAGTGGTTCAGCATTCTGGGTTCAATCCCCTGTGCAAATAGATAAATAAATAATCAATCTATTTATGGCTATTGATAAAACACAGATGACATCTTCCTCTCGTCTTAGATACAATGATTTGAATATAATCCCTTACCCTAGTATGCTGTGCTTTTGTAACTTGAAGATAACAGCTAATGGAGACGAGGTGGTTGCTTTGTTTTCAAGTTCATTTTAATTTAGAAATGCAAGTAAATCTCAAAGGATGCAAAAGAGAAGAACCAGGGGAAATTCTCTTATCTGAAATTCCCTTTATCAAAAGTTGCTTTTTGATAAGCCATTTCCACGTAGCAAAGGGTGATGACTAGTGATGCCCATAAGGATAAATGTAAAAGCCACCAAAACGTCATGAAAAGCCTTGTGAATTTGTAGCAGAAAACTGAATCGTGGTCTCATTTTGAAGTTATATATGTTTTATTGCAGTCTATCTCATAGGAATGTGCCTAGCTACATATGAAGAGTACAGTAGGATCCCCTACTGGGGTGTGTGTGTGTGTGTGTGTGTGTGTGTGTGTGAGAGAGAGAGAGAGAGAGAGAGAGAGAGAGAGAGAGAGAGAGAGATCTATTTTATTACTTTGTTTTTCAACTTTCCAGACGACCTCTATACATACAGTACCAATGTGTTAAAATTTCTAAGGCTTTGGGCCTATTTCCTATTAAAAATTTGCAAACCAAAACAGGAGAAATTTCATTTAGATCAAACCTTTTTTACTTACCAGTCCGTCTTTGTCATAGGGTGAGTCAAAGTTATCCAGAAATTTCCGGAAGACCTGTTCCTCTGTCCACTCTCCATTTTGGTACTTGGGATGGTGTTTTGCATTGTACAACCCGCGAAGGTCTTCGATTGTGATGACGCCATCTCCAGTCTTGTCTAACTTTCTGAAAGCTTGCATGATTACCTCTTTTCTGGCTCTGGACATGGGAGGCTAGATGAACAGACACATACACGTACACACATATGCCAATGAGCCTTTCCTGTATTACACATGATGAAATATCTTACTCCCTCCATAACGTGGACCAGCTTGTGTATCACTACATGAGATGCACTATGATTGCCCACAACAGGCTCTCAGCCCATTTGCAGTCTCCTGCCCACAGTGTACAAACAACTTGCGAAAACCAAACCTCAAAGTAGCCGAACCAAACCACGTGAAAGCCAAACTTGGCAGATCACCCTGATTCACAGCCTACTTACTCTTAAAGTGAGAAGAAATTCATTGAAGTCTATTGTTCCATTTCCATCTTTATCAAATCTCCGGAAAAGCTCTTCAGCCTCTTCCTTTTCCATGACTACAGCATAATCATTTAACCCCTTTACAAATTCTTTGAAATCAAGGGTTCGGTTGTTATTGTCATCCATAATTCGAAACACTCTGAAGAAAACACATGCACACATAAAGTAAAAAACAAAAGCAAAAATTCCCCACAAAGAACAAGGTATAAGTGTAAAGATTTAAAAAAGAAAATGACTCAAAGTTTTTCAAAGTGAAATACAGAAGTCTGAGATTCTTCTCTGTGCCCTGCCAAAATTGGAAAGCCTCTTCTCAGCTTCTCAAAAAGAAAAATAAACCCTAAACCACACACATGCACATTCACACACACAGATACACACACACACGCGCACACACACACACACACACATACACATACACATGCACAATTGCACTGTGGGATTCTAATTATATGACATGTGCCGGAAAGGCCCATGTTAAAGGCTTGGTCAAGAGCCTATGGAACTATTGGGAGATGGAGGAACTTCTAGGAGGTATGTCTCATGGGAAGGAAGTTAGCTCATCAGGGGTGCCCTTGAAGGGGACATTGGGACCACAGCCTCTTCCAGTTTTTTTTTTTTTTTTTTTTTGCTCTTTGCTTCCCAGCTGCCATGAGGTGACTAGCTTTGCTCCACCATGCATTCCTCACCAGGATGTGCCACCTCACCATAGGCCCAAAAGCAACAGAGTGGTCATGGAAATAATGAGCCAAGATAAACCTTTCCTTCCTGGTAACTTGTTTCTCCCAGGTATTTTGTTACAGTAATGGAGAACTCCCACCATATATAAATTTTTTTAGGCATCCAAACTTTGCTTATTGACTCAAAAAGACCCAAACCCTTTCCATCTTTCAATTAAAGGAAAGCAAAAAAATATATAAGTCAGTACATCAAAAATCCTATTTTAAGCTATGTTTCTTGATAAGATCCCCAGAACCTATCATAGAGTATAAATGTTGGTTTTCATTTTTTCAACATAATCCACTGACCATATAAAACATATAAACACTGTGTTAGTTACAGAAAGACTGCACCTAGAAACATGCCTCATTATATCCAACTATGTTGGATCACCTCCACCCACAAGGTACTCATGTCCTTCTCATGAAAGAAATAACATAGCTTCTAATTTTGTTTAATTGTTATGCTTCAGGTCTTCCATCCATCTCACCACACCCTATTACATGATCTTCCTCCTTCACACATTCCCTTTCTCCTCTATCATCTGCCACTACCCTCAGAACAGCTCTGGGCATTTTCTGTCTCGCTAGTATTCTGACAGGTAGAGAGAGTTCTCCGTTAGGATCTCAAAAACCTGAGCTTGATTTTCAGTTCTTCTGGTAAACTGGCTTTGTGACTTTAGGCATACGTTGTGACTTTCCTGGGTCTCACTTTGCTGTAAGAGACTCAGTCAGTTAATCTTTAGTTCCACATGAATGCTAAAATAATGTACAATTTTGAAGTCACAACTTATGCTTTTGTCTATGTTAGTTATTTGTAACAATAATATAGATTCTTACTCCTCTGAATTTCACACTTTATGTAAAAATCAAAAAGAACACTTTGCATGAGAGCATCACATAGATTCCAGAGGGAGGAGACTTGACTATTTTTAGCTATCTATCTATTTATTTATTTATTTTGCTGTTACATGTTTACAATGTTATGGTCATTCTGTCAAAATTCGCTTTCTGGATGAACAAATGATAAATTAACAAACAAATCACACTGATACAGGAAATGGATTGATCTGTTTTCTTTGTAAAATATATGTAAATTTATAAGATATATGTAAATTCAAAATAAATGATGTGTCATTTAAGCACCTTATGTTATTCAATAAAATTTAATATTGATTAGGCACTTATAAGGTGCCAAACTTTGCACTAAGCCCTGTGAGGAGGAATACAAAGGTAATGAGACTCCATCTCTGTCCTTTTAAAGAGCTTATTGAGAGACAGAAAAACTCAGAAGAACAGTCATTATTCAGTAGTTTTCATGAGAAGTGACATCATAAAAATAAAAGTTAACAGAACTCTAACAATAGCGATTGAATGATTGGAAGACAAAAGCCTGAGAGCAAAGAAAACCGTAAGAAAATCTTAGGAAAGATGCTCAGTGCCTGCACATAAGCAATTGAGATAAAGATAAGAAAAGAGATCACAAGATGTTGTAGAAGTAGAGTCATCAATGTGGTGGTCAATGAAGGTACTTCCTGAGTTTCCAACCCAAGGAACTGTTAGAGTGAATTGAAAGGGTCAGGGCTGCAGGGGAAGCTCTGTTTGCAAGAGGGGATGATTAATTTTATTTTATTTTGAACAGTAACACAACTATTAAAGATACTCAGTAGGTAACTGGCTAGTTAACAAGGAAGAAGAAGAAGAAGAAGAAGAAGAAGAAGAAGAAGAAGAAGAAGAAGAAGAAGGAGGAGGAGGAGGAGGAGGAGGAGGAGGAGGAGGAGGAAGAGGAGGAGGAGGAGGAGAAAAGAAGAAGAAGAAGGGGATATAAATTACGTGATGAGTTTGGAGCCCAGGAGAAGACTTGATGCTGAGAATGTGGAAGGAGCCAGAGTAAAGATGAGCTCAACTCCGGAGTGGGTGAGATTTTTAGTGAATTAAAGATGCTGGCAAAAGAATCTTGGGAAACGTCTACATTTGTGCCATAATTGGGAATGACTGAGAAGGAAAACTGTCAAAAAAGCAAAGGTGCCAAAGTCATGATAGACTCATTCTGGTCTTAGTCAGAAGAAAGACTCCAGACCAAGTGGAAAGATTGTTCCAGGAGCCAACCCTTCACAGAAGAACGTGTCCTGGAGTTGGCGAATAGTAGAGCTTACCCTGAGGACATGCCCTTCAAAGGCAGGCTGGGGGTGGGGGTGGGGAAATGAGCAAAAGGAGGGAATATTTCCTGGGATCTGGGATCAGAGTGAAGGCGAGTGTCTACCTGTCAACAGACCCTAGTGCAGGGTGGAGGGAAGGAGCTGCCTCCATTGAGTTGAGAGACTTAAGAGAAGGCAGAGACCAGTAAGAGAGGCCAGGGATGAGGTAACATCTGTTCACAGTGAAGGGCTGAAGAAAGTGCAGGGTGTAATGGCACCAACAGGTGGAGAGGGCACCATCGGCAGGAAGGAGTGGACTGAATGATGGACCAGGAAGTAGAGGGAAAAGCAGGGTCCCTAAGGGGACTGCCCTGAGAAAGAGGGAGAGGTTGAAGAGACACGGTACTGAAGGAAGAGGACTTGCCTTTGGACTGGGACCATGTGGTCACCTGGCTTAACATACCTGTAGCCTGGGCCTCTGACAGAGCTCCAAGTCTGAGACCTGGGATGGTTTAAGGTGATATCAGATGGACCTAAAGCCTTCCACAACCTCTGGATGCAGAGTTGGGTGTCTCTCCCACTGACTTTCTGTACTTCTCCAATATACAACTGCTCCCACCACCCAGGGCCCCATTTACATGACTCCATGGGAACTGGAGAAGCCTAGTTCACCGGGAATCCTCCAAGGTGTGCTCAAGGTCTGGCCCACAGCAGACTCTCAGTGTAGTTTGTTATAATGCACAGGGTCTGCCCTTAGGGGCTCACAGTCTCCTTTTGCCCTTGGGTTTCTCATCCCTGAGGGTGACACACTACCAGAGAGTGTGAGGACTGGCTCTATCAAGACAAAGACACCCATGGCAGTGACCTGTCAGTTATCCCACAGGCAATCCCAGTGCCACTAGAGCTGAGAAAGACAAGACTGCCTGAGAACAGAACCCCAAATTCTATAATCACTGCCAAACCACTGTTCTTTCCTCCCTCTTCCAACCCAGCCGGTACTATCCCAGCTTCGGGGAGCTCCTGTCTCATTTTCCTGCTCGGAGTCTGTGCTACCTAGCTGTGCCTCTCCCCTTACCTCGGGAGCCCTGCCCTCTTTCAGCTGCACCTGGGCCTTGCTGAATCTGGGATCAAGAACTAAAAATGGTCACAAGAGACCTGAGAGATCAACTCTTCCAAACTCTGCATTTCACAAGTAAGGGAATGACTCGGCCCAAGATCACGAAGCCACTTCTAGCCTCACCTGGACCCCCCCAGCCTCTCTACTCCTGCATCCTACCTGCCAAGTCCTTTGATACCTGCAGAGCCCCTGGCCAGGCACTGCAGTCGGAGTCTCTCAATGGGATCTGTGGCCGTGGTGAGTTTCTTCTTGGACTGGATGGCCATCTCTCGGTCATGGCGTGCTGTCCCTGCCATCTGAGAGGAGAGTTCACAGCACATTAGCAGAGCTCCCCGCCGCACCACCTGCCTCTGGCTGAACAGGAGATAGCAATCTTGCTGAGAAGGAAATTTACAGCTCACTTTGCCATCAGATCTCCCAGGAATAGTCTCAAACCTCCTCCCAGAATTTCCAATTTTTAACCAAGCGGACTGTGTGCCTGGCATATTTATTACTTACTGACCGTGACCCGAGGCCATCTGCTTTCCCCAGCTCAACAATGAATACAAAGCCATTTTCTCATTCTGAAGCCCTCCTCCCTCTATAAAAAGTCCAAGTTCCCCACCCTCTTTTAGAAACAACCACGTATCCTATGTCATTTTATTTAGATTTCTCCATATTCCCTCACTCCACGTTTAATTAAGAGTCTCCTCTTTGGTCTAAACACTGATTTTCATTGCTTCTGTCTTCCCTGAGATTCTCAACACTAGGGCCCTGATGATTCTTACCAGCAATCAGTGTGTTCTCCTTGATTAGCAGGTATGTGCCCATTAACAAGGTTCTTTTGTGGGGGGAGGGGGTCCCAGGGAGTAAACTCAGGGCCACATCCCCGGCCCTATTTTTGTATTTTATTTAGAGACAGGGTCTCACTAAGTTGCTTAGCATCTTGCTTTTGTTGAGGCTGGCTTTGAACTCACGATCGTCCTTTCTCAGCCTCCCAAGCTGCTGGAGGCACCACCACACCCAGCAACAGGGTTCTTAAGACAGAAATATTTTAAACAGGGTTGGGGCTGGGGCTCAGAGGTAGCATGTGGCATGTGTGAAGCACTGAGTTTAATTCTCAACACCACATATAAATAAATAAATAAAGGTCTATCAACAACTTAAAAAAAAATCTATATTTACTATCTCTCAGCTGACACACATACAAAAAGATATCGTTTTCTCCAGCTTGGCTTTTGTGATTTGAGTTTTCAGAACAGGAGGGAAGGGTGGTGTGGTGAACTGATTCCTCCTTTCAGTTCTCAGAACTTCCACAGTGGTGGAAAGAGCACTGGGCACCGGGAGCCTGGGGACTCAGGTCCCAGTCCCACCTCTCCACTGCCATCCCGACCCACCCCCTGACATCAGAGCCCATCTCAAAGCCTCCACTGTCTCCTTCTCAGTTGGCTTAGATGATCTTTAAACTTCATTCCGACTCCAAAAACCAGTAATCTCCATGAGTCCACTCACCCAGTGGATGGAAGATTCTAGAAGCTACCTTACGTTGAGCTCCAAATAAAAAGAGCAAGAGGGTAGGAAGAATGGCATTCAGTGCACACAAGACAATAAATGGTGCTCTACCCTTGACTYCAGGGCTCGCTGGCTGTCCAAATTCTGGCACTTGCCTTGAGGACCATAAGGACAGAATTATTTTTATCAAAGATGGCAGCCCTGGGGATTGGGCCCTCCCCTGTACCAACTGTTTTCCTATCACACCCTGAAAGGTCTCCCTATAAAGTATTCAGTATTTAACTTTCAGGAAAGGGAATCTCAAACCGAAAACTGAGGCTCGACTAGACAACACAGAGGAGCACACACTGAACTCACCCCATCTCCAGTAGCCTCCTTCCAGCTGATGAACAGGATCCCTTCTTCCTGCCCTCCCTCCTGATTTCCATCATGTAGCTCAAGATGGGAGTGCTCCACTCAGTTTTCTTGGACTCTGGGCCAGCCCACAGGAGTTCCAGCTGCTTTACTTACTCCATATTTGTAAGAAACTGTTACACCTAAGGCTAGGCAGGGTCTCCCTTTGCTTGGTGCCGCACCGAAGCAGAGATTCCCCGGAATTCCAGATGGTGGCGCCCACTGCCCCCACAGACCCCATCTCCGTCCACGGCAGGTGAAGGTACCTGTCCCCCTGGACACCTGCTGCCCTCGCGGTCGCCCCACTGGCGGCATGAACCTTCTCAACACTGGCTTTGTCTCTTACCATTTTTTCACCTGACCTCGGGCTGACATTCCTAGAGCTTGTCCTGGCTTCCAGTCCTAACTCCACGCCCACAGAATTCCTCATCCACCACCAGATTCTGGTGTCCCCTACAAGACCACCCCACCTCATCTCGCTGCTTCCTGCTCCCCACCCACCCTTGAGTCGCCATTTCCTCGCCCTGGCCACATTCTTTCCGTGGAGCTTGTTCCAGCCTTCCCAACTTCCAGGCTGCAGAGGCAGGAACTGGGGTGGGTGGGCAGCATGCCCTATTCATCCTCTGAACCCCCTCAGAGGCTGGCTCCTTCCAGGAGCACCTGCTGCCCCCCCACCTTGTCCCACGGGCTGCCCCACCCCCTACTCCCCTCCTCCTGTCCTCCGACCTCTCCTCCCCCTTCTCCACTCTCCTTGCTGTCCTACTTCCACACAGTCCATGACAGGAAGCAAGGAACAAAGAGAGACCTCAACTGAAAGCCAGCAGTGGGGAGACAGGAAGATCTGGTGTTTAAGGGATTTTGCAAGTGGAGTGCTCCTTGCAAACCTTTGGGAAAATATTAAAAGCATCAAATTCTAACAGTTCTTGTGCCCCCACCAGATGGTAAGCATGTATTCATTCCTCACACAAAACCCATGAACTGATCTGAAAACAGGGATACCCAAGTCTGTGGCAACATTATTCACAAGAGCCAGAAGGTAAAAACAATCCAAGTGTCCACCTATGGATGGACAAACTGTGGCATATCCACACAATGGAATATCATTCAGCCATTAAAAAGGAATGAGGTCTTGGTATATACCACAATGTGTATGAATCTTGACTACATTATACCAACTGAAAAAAGCTGTACAAAAACAGGAGTCAAATATTATATGATTCCACTTGTGTGAAATATCCAGAAAAGGCAAATTCAGAAGACAGAAAGCAAATTAGTGATTACCAGGAGCTGATACCGGGAGGGCAATGGGAAGTGCCTGCTTAATAAGCATAGGATTTCCTTTGGGGTGATGCAGATGCTTGGGAACTTCATATAGGTGGGTGATTACACAACATTAGGATGGTGCTGAATATTTTAAGATGGCTAACTTTATGTTAAATGAATTTCATATCAACTTTAAAAACCCATGATCATTTGTTAATTAGCTAGATTTAGTCATTTCACAATCTATACATACTTCAATACATGATGCTGTACCTGGTAAACACATACAGCTGCATCTGTCAATTTAGAAGTAAGTAAATAAAAAAGTGTGCCTGGTACATACACATCTTGGCAAAAGAGCTAAGGGGGGGGGGAAATGAAGTAGTTAGTACTATTTTTTGTATTTCACAAATAAATAGGGGTCCAAAGAAATCAGACACTTGCACAGAGCAGACAGCACTATGGATCACAGTGATTCGTGTAGTGTCAGGATTTAAGACTTTACAGATTATCTACAGCCACCTCCTTATTTTACAAAGTTGGAAGGTATGTTAGACCATTTTCTGTTGCTCTGCCAAAAGACCTGAAACCAGAACATTTATTTAAAAAAAAATTGAGGTTTATTTTGCTCACAGTTCTGAGGCTGGGAATTCCAGGGGACTGCACTGCTGACATCTAGTAAGGACCCTCCTGCTGTATCATAACATGGCTGAGGGCATCAGGAGCAACCCCAGAGCAAGTTCCTCTTCTTATAAAGCCACACTTGCCATCATGGAGGTCCCGCCCCATGACCTCATCTAATCTTATATATCAACAGCCCCATCTGCAAATTCCATTAACAACATATGAATTTGGGGGGGACACATTGAAACCAAGGTTGGAACCAAGAATTGGATTGGTAAATTGACTTGCCCCGAAGTCCTGGCCAACATCAAAATACCGAGCTTGATTCTCAAGCAGTGCTCTTTCTACTGCACCATGTTTGTGAAATAATATATACGAGGGTCAGAGTACAAGCAGATGGCCCTCTCTCAGAAGAAAGCAAGAACATCCAAGATCACAAGCCTCTCAGAGTCCAAACTGTCCTGTCATCGGAGGCTGATCCTACCCGGAGATGACACAGGCTTTCACCTCTGGAATCCAATTTGGCAAGCTCAGGGAAAAAACTGCGCTGGTACTTGATGGTACTTGAACTACCCACATCAGCTATCCCCGTTAATCACTTAGTCACCCAGTCCATCAACAAACAGCTAATATTTATTGTGTACTCTCTTCAAGGCACAGTACGGGGCCAGAAGGTAGGAGGTAAGGAATTACTCAAAGCTCTAAATAGCTTAGACTCTTAATAAGATGGAATTCTGAAGTCCTTATATTTACACACACACACACACACAAAAAAAAAAAAAAAAGTTTGTAAGAAGTGGATCTTTAAAGGAAGGCAGGATTGGGTAAGGTCTTGGGCAACACTCAACAATTTTCAAAGTTTGCATGAACGCACCAGGTGACAGGGCAAAAATCTGTCCCCAAACATAATATCAAGATGTCCCTGATTTCACAGTGCTGCTCAAAGTGTTCCTGACTCCAGGAGGCTCTCTCTGACTCACAGGGTGAGTTCCCCAGCCAGGCCCCAGCAAAGTGGAGAAGGAGGTACACGTAGCCACAGCGCCACCGCGTGTTGGCTCATGGTCTGCGCAGTTCCCCTACCAGAAGCAGGTTTCAGTCTATTTCAACAAATGTCTACTGTGTGCACAGTGTGGGGAGAAAAGGGAATACACAGTATTGAAGGCCTTAGGGGGAAGGGTGCAACCCCATTTCTAAGCTATAACAAATCACAAGAAGGTGGCTAACCCAGCTTTGGAGCAGGGCTTTATGAAGACATTTCAAAGTGGATAATGCCTAAGTATTATGGGAGGGGATGGTTATGGGAGCTGTGAGGGTTAATATGGGTATCTCAGGTACCACAGCAGGAACACCACGTGCTTAGTTAGGTCAGAGTGAAGGAGAAAAGAGTGTAAATTGAGAAATGTGTTTTAGTATGGTTTGGAAAGAGGGTCGTGGGGGAGGGAGATGAAAGTGTGGAGGCTGAGAGGGGCTGTTGGCAGGGAAATGTGGGGAGGATGAAAGTGAGCAAGGAAGCAGGAACCAGATC